GATTCTCGATTATTTATTTATTATAATTCTTATATTTGTCGTAAATTAAGTATGTGCAAAGTTCTATTTTTTTATTTGTCATTTACTAGAATTTTAGATTTTGATGTAATTATCTATTTGGGTTTGTTTAATGAATAATATTAAATAAATTATAACAAAATGCTAAGTAGTATTTTTTAGAATAATTATAATAAAATAAAAGAATCTATTTTGATAACGGAATCATTTTAGAGAATTTATAATAAATTTAAAGAAGTTATTTAGGATTATTATAATATTTAAAAGAATTTCTTGTGAGAAAAGAAATCATTTTAGAATATTAAATATTTTAAAAGAAATTATCAGAAAAGAAAATTATTTTTTGAATGATTTTAACGAGGAATAAATAGTTTATCTTGAAAAAGGAGTTATTTTTAGTTATTATATATATTCTAAAAGAATTTATTTTTAGAAAAGGAATTATTTTAGATTAATTATAATAAGAAATGATTTAAAATAAATTATTTTGGAAATGGATTATTTTCTAAATTATATAAATGATGTTTATGATTTATAATTCTTAGATTTAATTATATGATATGCCATGACATCGTTGTACAGGATCGGTTGTTTTTATTTATTATTTCCTTATTTTGTTTGAGAACCATTAGTAGTTCATGACTTAGTGGCTTTGCGCGTCATGAACATGACTTAGTGACATGTGTGTGTGCGTTGACTAAATTTAGGAGGTGGACCATAGATCTAGTGTAAGTTATGTTTGTTGACTTAGAAAACAAGAAGAGTTGGGATGAGGAAGTTTTGGTTTATGTAATCGGATGTGGCTGTTGATGTATCTTCCAGGCTTGCACCAGTGAATTCGTGTAGTCACTGGGGCTAGTTTGTTGGGCTAAAGTGAATTCATGTAGTCACTTTGGTCAGTGAATTTGTGTAGTCACCCGAATTTTGCTTGAGTTCGAACCAGGTCAAAATCGGATTGCGTGTAGTCCTCTGACCGATTCGTGTAGCAGTATTGGATGCACGTAGAGGATTTGTGAACAATCATTTATCTAAGAATATGAACGTTGACTCTATGTGAGATATGGACTAGTAATCTGTTATAGAATGGTTAGTTATATGACCTTGTTACTTAGATGATTATGGATTCTTGTGATATATAGACTAGTTATATTTCTTTTCATACATAGATCAGGATTAATATTTAATTATCTATAATATGAGAAATGTGGTATATACATGAGGGTTTCCTTATTTGGATTATTTCGCTCGACGTACTACGTCTCGTGTTGTAGATTTTTAAGTAATAATTCCATCTAGTGGTATGACCTTGTTATTTGGATGATTATGGATTCTTATGAGATGTGGACCATTGATCTATTATAGGATGGCTAGCTGCATAACCTCATTACCCGGTTGATTTTTAGATTCTTCTGATTATTATATTATGGTGGTGGCTTGTATTTAAATTATTAGAATTTTTAATACCATGCTTCTATTATTATTATTATTGTTCTTGCATTGGTCGCTCGACCGTTTCTATTCTCCCTTGTGGGATCTTGCCGTGTGCCATGTACGTTGACGTACTCCTATTCTCTTGGGTTGTACGTCAGATTTAGAGGATGAACAAGTCCAGCTTGGAGACACACCAGAGTCAAAATAGTTTCTGCAAGAATACTTTGTAGACCGAGCAGAAGAAGAAGCCGAAGCTTTGTTATTCCTTTCAATTTGTTTCTGTAGCACTTTCCATTTCCGCTTGATCGATGTATGTCTATATCTCTTTAGTATTCAATTGGGTGGATTTGTATCAAGACATGTTGACCCGATTATTATGTCTGGGATGATATTTTAGTTGTGATATGTATCATTTTGTTCTGAGTTGTTTATTATATTCTCGCTACTGTGATCGAGGACCTGTGCCTTCATTTTATATTGCTTGACTCTTAGCGTATTAGATTGAGTAAAACATCTAGTACTTATTTCTCCTCAGTCTAATACATCGTGGGATTGTTCATGTTCTGATTCCCCGTTATTTTGGGAAGCGGGGTGTAACACCAATACATCATAAACTAAGTGTATGTGCACATATCTCGGTGTGTGTGTGTGTGTTAATATCTGGTGTTCACCAATATCCCAGGTGTTAAACAACTCATAAGGTTCGTAATACAAATAGCAACAGTGAAGAAAAACATGCACATGCCAAAAGTGTGATGTGCGATTGACCGCATTTATGTGGTGGTCGTCCGCGACGTGTTTCAGGAGTTACCCAAGCCTTTTCCTGGCACGCGGTCGACCGCTGCTTAGGCGCGGTCGACCGGACTCAGGAGTTACCCAAGCCTTTTCCTGGCACGCGGTCGACCGCTGCTTAGGCGCGGTCGACCGGACGCGATTCCAGAGTTTTGTTCTTTATATGTTTTGCATAATTATGTTCGTGCATGCTTTTGTGATTCAATCTTGTTTAATTCGTATTGAAACATATGTAGAACATTATAAACATCAAATCAACTTCTCTGGGAATTATCAAACATATAAAACATAATTAGTTGCATAATAAATCACAAATAAACTCTTAAACATGCACGAAACATCGTTACAAAGAAAAATCATTAAAATTTAGTTAAACCACATTATTAATTACTCTCAGATCTTAAAACACTTCTGTGATTTCGTTCTTAAACTTTTAAACATGAAAAAAATCTGGTCTTTATACATATAATACAAAAGGTTTGATTTTTCTACACAAATTATTTAATTTGGCTCTATAAAATTCATTGGAAACTCATTTAAAATTCTTTAAAATAGGGGAGAGAGATTAGCAGAGATGAAACTCATCTATGACTTGATTTAAAGCGTGAGAGATAGAATTCCAATGCAGATCTCCAAGCCATAAACCGAAATCACGCTTAAAAGCCTTTAATCTTCCTCATATATCAAATTAGGGTTTATAAAATTGTTTGGTGGTTGTTAGGGTTTCAAAAAATATGAAAGAATTCTGAAAAACTTGTGATAAATGTGTATATATAGCAAAGAAAACGAATATGGGCCTCAAACACCCGAAACCAACTCAGATCAGGAAAAATAGAAAACAGGTTCTATAGTCGACTACGGCGGTCGACCAGACTGGGAATTTCCAGTTCTTCAAGATTTTGCTTTTGTGCATATTTTTGACTCATTCTATTCTCATGTATGAATTTGTTTATACTCAAAATACTTGTTAATGTACTCATACACTATTTAATGATATTTATCTCAATAAATATCCGCTTATAATAGTTAATCACATATTAATTCAATTTATCAATCATTAACTCAAAATTTTCAGGGTTTTGCAGCTTTGAATTAGGGGGAGTTTTTGGAAAATGTGTACACATTTATACTTTTATGTATGTATATTTATAGGGGGAGACTTTGCATAACATATATCTTTTGATGAAACGTGTTATGCGCTTATTTTGTAGTGAATATACATCTCACTACGGTTTACACTATATTTTAAATTTCAAGTTTGGTTATTATCAAAAATGGGAGATTGTTAGGATGTTATTCATACAACATCTCTTATTTGAATAATAACAAACTCTCATTTACTATTGATATATTTTATGAGATGATATATTTTAGGTATAAAAAGGTACGAGTAAGATGATGTTGGAAATGATGGAAAAATCAACATGAACGCCAATTTCAGCCTTCAAACCATCAATGGTCAAGAGGCAACTATCGATGGTCAGCATCTCATTGATGATTATAAGAGCCAATAAGAAAAAAATAGAAATAGGAATTGGCATCATCAATGGTCTACAACGAGTCACCGATAGTTATAGGAAATCATCGATGGTTACATGAGACAATTGAAGAAATCTAGAAATCAAAATCAGCATCATCGATGATCACCAAGGGACCACTGATTGTCATTTCCATCATCGGTGGTTATGACAAAATTTAGCAGTTATCAAGATTTAATGTTAGCCGTTTGTTGACATGTTTGATCTCCTATTTGCACTTTGATTTGGCTATCTCTTTCACCTCCTATCAAGGTCTATTTAAGGGAGTTGGAGATCATAATTAAAAACAAGGTTCAATGAAAAATGAGAGATCTTTATTTTAGGATTTGAGAGAGAGAGTTAGTCAAATCTCTTGAGCCCCAATTAGCTTCTTCTCGGCACACTTTTCATTGGAGTGTCGTATGCTTACAGCGTTACAATGCTTCTTCGCGGATCTTCATCGTCATCAGTTTGAAGGACATTTTGCTAAAGGGCTATAAGATTGTTTTATTTGTGCTTAATTATTTTTGGGGTTGTATTTCAAGCTTGTGAGTTTGACGGCATATCAAGCAAGATAATTAAGGATTAAGCTAGATAGGGTTAGATTTCTTTCGATCATTGTGAAGAGTAAGGCTCCACAAGATAGTTCTGACATACATAATACATTGTCTACTGAATATGGCTGCATACGCTTTTTGTTTTTTGACTAGTCTTAAGGGCCCGTTTGGATTGATTTTTTGAAGCTATAAAATGGGGGAAAACTGTCAAAAATGTCAGCTTTTTGACATCTTTCCCCCAAAATCGCCTCTTTAAGAGCGATTTTGGGGGAAAACGGTTAAAAAGCTGACATTTTTGTAGCTTTCCCTCTACTTTCTCTCTCCAAAAACAGGAACCAAACGCCCCCTAAAGGATCCGCATGACACTGTTTTAGAAGTTTGTCTTCTTTCCTTTTCAATAGCCTAATCAATGAATTGCACGGCAAAAAAGAACTTCTTAGCTAGTTAATTATTGACTATTTAAAAGGCCAAATCAACTGTTTCCATCATCGCTTGAGCATCTCTCTACCACAAGTTACAACCTTATCCTTTCCCTCACCGTATACGTTAGTCTCCTGTAACCTCCCTTCCTCCTATAAATCAAAACTTCCTCAAGCTCCTATTATAACTCACTCAAACGAAAAGAAAACAAAAAAGGAGGGAAAAAACAAAATGGAGGGAAGCCATAGAAAACACTTCCTTATAGTCACTTACCCGGCCCANCTCCACCGCCATCTCCGCCCACCGGAAAATGTTCCCTAACCTCACCTCCGCAGAACAAGAAGTCGATGACGGCGGCCCCGTCGCGTACTTCCCCTACTCCGACGGTTACGACGATGGCTACAACCAAGGAGTCGACGACCCCAACCACTACCTCTCCCAATTCAAGACCGTTGGCCCGAGAAGCCTCTCGTCGCTCATCCATACGCTTAAGTCTCGTGGCCAACGCGTCGACTGTGTGATCTACACGTTCTTGCCGTATTGGGCCATTAACGTAGCCCGCGAGCACGGAATTCCATCGGCCCAGTACTGGATCCAGCCGGCCACTGTTTTCGGAATCTATTACCACAGCTTTCATGGGTACGAGGACCTCATATCTGCACATTGTAAAGACCCCTTGTTTACGGTTGAATTACCGAGATTGCCACCACTGTGCATCCGTGACCTGCCGTCGTTCTTGATCACGCCGGGCACTTCAGGCGATCTCTATTCAGCAGTTTTGGTCACTATTAAGGAGTCGTTCTCGACATTGGATAGCGAAGTCAAGCGGAGCAAGAGAAGGCCAAAGATTTTGGTGAACACGTTTGATGAGCTAGAAGTTGATGCTCTTTCTGCTGTCGATGATATAGATTTGATTGCGATAGGCCCAATTATGCAGCCAATTCCAAAGGATAACGAAGGAGCATCGGGTTTTAATCTTTTCAGGCCTGATGAGAAGGCGTATATGCAGTGGCTAGACTCGAAACCGAAAAAGTCAGTTGTGTACGCGTCATTCGGGAGCTTAGCGATCCTAACGAAACGGCAAATGGAGGAGATTTCGAAAGGCCTGAGGGCGAGCGGGAGGCCATACCTGTGGGTAGTAAGGAGAGACTGCAGACTCGAAGGAGTCGAGTTGGAGGATGAGGAGAGTGCAGAGAAGGCGATGGTGGTTGAATGGTGCTCGCAAGTTCGTGTCCTGACTCACCCTTCAGTCGGGTGTTTTGTGACACATTATGGATGGAATTCGACGCTGGAGAGCTTGGTGTTCGGGGTGCCCACAGTGGGATTGCCGCAGTGGTCAGATCAAGCGACCAATATGATGCTCTCCGAAAGGGCTTGGGGGACCGGAGTTCGAGCGGAGGTTAACGATGACGGCATCTTGGAAGGCGAGGAGTTGAGGAGGTGCTTGGATTTGATAACGGGAGAGAGTGAAAGAGGGAAGGAGATTAGGAGGAAAGCAGAGTTGTGGAAGGAGAAAGCTGCAGAGGCTATGGCTGACGGAGGATCGTCTGAACGAAACCTGAGGTCATTTGTGAAGGAAATTGCTACATCTGATCAAAATGATCATTAGATTTGCTTGTATTGTGTTATATATCGTAAACGTTGGCTTATTTGTGTGTATGAGGGTGGATGTCTTGGTCTAATCCTCGAGCCTTCTTCCAAACCATCGAAGAAGTTATCATCTGTCCATAGACGGGGGATTAAATAGCTTGTTTGTTTGATAGAAGAACTACATAAGTAGTTCAAGTACAGAAAATTGAACCCACTTCTGGGAAAAAGAAATCTGTTAGTTTTCTTAAACTTTTTCATCTGTTACTTCATTGTATACTGATATGGCTTACATACATCCTTCTTCAATTTTTTCTGTCCCTAGTTTTTATTCACCTCTCCCTTTATACATTTAAAATTTTAACGAAAAAGTTAATGGGGAGCAAATATTATTATTTCAAGACATCCAAAAATATGTCAAACCAACAAAAATATTATTACCGCTACTTTCTATATTTTATAATTTTTAAAGTCACATCTTAGAGCTGCTTCTTACTTTTAATACTTGTATCAACCGAACGAACCTTTAAGGATTTTAAAATTACCCAATAAAAATAAGTGTTTGTTGTGCGCGGCGTAGAAGCGGTCGAATCACACACAATCCAAACAAAAGAGATCACAACCAAATAAACAAGCACAATCACCAAATAACATAAGAGATTTACGTGGTTCGGCAAATTGCCTACGTTCACGGGGCAAGAAAGGGGATGGGGTTTTCACTAATAGAGAAAGAGTACAAACTGAGATTACAAATCACTCGAAGGAACAAACTAATCTCACCAACAAGCTCTTAATCTTTCCAAACAAAACCCTAAACAAATAGCTCAGAAAATACCTCTTTTCTGTGCTCAAAATATCCCCAATTTTCTTCTCCAAATTCTCTCTTTCAATTGTTACATATATATAGAAATCCTAAAATCATAAACATACTAGGAATTCTAAACCAAAAGCCAAATCAAATTAGGAATCCTAATAACCTATTACTAAAAAAGATTAGGAATTCTAATAACCTCATGTTACCAAAATAGATTAGGAATCCGCTATCCAACAATTCTTCACCTCAGCGAAGTTTTTTCAAAACTGAGCCGACACCAATACCAACCAAACGTCTCACTTGTTACGTCCAATACGAAGTGGAACAAATCCACGACAACGGACTCAATCCACAACAAGTCGAGAACCCAAACGAGAATGCGAACAAACTCTAAATGTCGGTATCAACTCACAAAACCGGCTGCATCATAAATGACTGCCTACGTATCCTCTTGCCCAAGAAATAAAGCTTTCACGTAGTTCATCAAAACGGCCTCCAAAGGCCTCAATCCACTAGAAGAGTTCGCAACCCTTCTCCAACATCACGATCAAGTCTAGGCCTCAATCCACTAGAAGAGTTCGCAACCCTTCTCCAACATCACGATCAAGTCTACGGCTGATAGCATCTTCAATGGCCCCAAACTGAAATAATCCAAACATCTCCACCTGAGATGAACCAATGGCCATATCCAGACTACATCTATCAGCTGTACTCGAATCAATCAACCTATCATCTGCATCCAAATCAACATGATTCCCAATCTGTGTCACATCAGCTAGAATCCCAAATGATGCAATATGATCTGGAATTTCCACCCTGTAGGCGTCTAAAAATGACTATAGGACTCCGCACACAACTCGAGACGGAGAGAAGACGACGAACGTCATTATCCGAGTCTAAGAGGATTATCTAACACCGACAAGTGCCTGAAGCGAAACGACGAATCAAGTGGCCTGCGCGCTCAACAGTCAGCACGCGCGGGCCAATCAGCTCGCGTGCGTCAATCAACATGCGCACGTCAATCAGTTCACACGCGTCAATCAGTTCATGCGCGTCGATCAACACGCGCGTGACAATTAGTTCGTGCACGTTGGTCAACACGCACACGTTAATCAGCTTGCACGCATCGGTCAACACGCGCGCGTCAACCAATTCATGCGCATCAATCAGCTCGCATGCGTCAATCAACATGCGTGCGTCAATCAACACGCGTTCGACGGTCAATTCCGCAACGAAGCGTACAAGTCAACAAGACGATCAATTACGCAAAACGGTGGAAACTACAAGTCCCAGAAAAGTCAAGAAACGTACAAGTTCGGCAGAAACGACGGACCCGTGCCAGCGCGGGACGGAACAGACCGACCCACGCAAGCGCGGGTCAGATCTGTCTGACCCGCGCCGCGCACTTTCGACCTCCTGACGCGTTTTTGCTATTTTCGATCGGTTTTTTTCGGGATTTGTTGGTTCCTGAGTATCCTAACTGGCTTGATATCATCCCCAAATGTGGTTAGGCTGTTGTTAACTGAAGATAGAGCCAAATCACTTGTTCTCATCCGAAAACTCCCCAACCGAAGCCTATAAATACAGACCTAGGGGCTCCTTTCAGTGGGGCAGAGTTATTATCAAGAGGACGAGGTGCTACCGGATTGAGGAGTCAAAAGAGCACGAATTTTAGCGAGGGTTGACAGATCTTGGCGAGTTCTTCAGCATAAAGAAGGAGAGTTCGAGAGATCCGAAGCCCGTTTCCTCCATTCCTTAAGATCAGGCTTGGTCTTGATCTCAAGAAGAGCCCTGATTTCGCTTGGTCGATCTCAGCTCTTCAAATCAAATACTTCCTCGGTGAAGGCGAAGCTCTGCCTAATTTTCAACAACCGGATCTAATCGACGGTCGTCCATGGATAAACCCCGGCACAGGCGAAGACACCCACGCAAGCAGAAGACCGATAAACGATCTCCCTGCGTTTGTTTCGACAAGGGTTGTAATTTTTTGTTTTCATTGTGTAGGAGTCTTATAAAAAGACTATCTTTTTGTTTTCATTGTAACGACTAAAGTTGTAATAAATACCGTAATGAATACATCAATTTTCGACGAAAACAAACTAGCGACCACAGTAGGAGTCAACGGTCTCGCTGTCGAGGCCGTCGTGTCGCAACCGATGATTAAGATCCCGGTTGAAGAGGTGGTCGAATACGAGTTTGACCAACAGAAGTACAAAGAATACCTCTCGTCCTCCTCCAGATCCTCTGCTTCTCGCAAGCGTAGAAGATCAACGCCCCCGTTGCTGCGGTAGCTGAACCTTACAACACCCTTCCAGCCTCCAACGAGTCCGGATCTACAGATCTGAACTCCTCCTCAATCAAGGAGTTGAGTACAGAGGGCGCGCCCACTTTATCGAAGAGAGCTCGCCAAAGGCAGCGCCAACGCCTTGCGCGCCAACTCGTTAGGGCTTTGGAGTCAATTGACGGGATCCGTTACGAGGCGGATCTGAAAATTAGACAACGCCAAGCGCCCTAACAGCGGACAAATGCCCTCTCTTCCGAATCACCAATAAGTGAATGGGTACAAGTCAAAAGGACCCGTTCAACTCTTGAGGAGCGGATCAAAAAGCGCCGCGCACTTCTTGCGCACGCGCGAATTCTTACGCAAGAGGCCAAAAAGTTGTAGAGGGAAGAAGTGGGAAAGAAGCCACAAAAACTGCACAAAGTTTGGAGGCCAAAGTATAAGACGACGGCCGAAAAGATCGAAAAACGCGAGTCGCTCAAATCCGACCCGCCGGCGCGCGGGTCACTCGAATCCGACCCGCCAATTCGCAGGTCACTCGAATCCGACCCGCCAATTCGCAGGTCACCCAAATCCGACCTTCCAAACAGCGGGTCACCCAGATCCGACCCTCCGACCCGTGGGTCACCCAAATCTGACCCGTGCCAAAATCAAGGCAGAAGATGTTCTGCATCTCCAATGGAGCCCCGTGATAGCGTAGACTTGTCCCGTTTCAAGATGAGGATGGCGGATCACATGGGTCCTTTACGTAAGGATCGAGGCAAATCTCCGATCGAAGAACGCTTAAGTTCGGTGACTACACCCCAAGCGACTCGTCGAGCTGGGGGTCGCGCACACCCTCGCAATAATTTCAAGCCTTCTCATAAAGGGAAAACTCCGGTTTTCACCCGCCTGGGGGTGTGTATCCAAAACCAGGAGCCTGTTGAGATCCTGCGCTCCCAAAAGCGTAGTTCTAAACACGTGACTCTTGAGAATGCTAATAAAGCGGCAAATCCCCTGAAAGAAACTTATTTATCTGATGATGACAACGTTATACCAGGAGAGTCGTGTCAACACACGATAGGTTGCTACGGTCATCTGGCCGATGAGTTGTACTATCGGGTTGGGGGTACGAACAAGTCTCGGAAGAGAAGTACCCGAGAAATAGAATGTCACTGCCCGTGTGCCGAACTTATCAGGGCAGTATTATCAGCGTGTAGCTGCCCCAAGACCGCTCCGCAGAGGGTCTCAGTATTCGAGAGGATCTCTAACGGAATGGCCAAGTCCAGACCAAAGCGTCTCCGTAAAAAGCGATCTGCTGTTCAAGGTGACGAACTCCCGGAAGTCACAATAAATATGGCTGATAGGGAAAGTCGATTCGACCTTCTAGCTCTGACCCGCTTATATCTCACCGTCTAACCCGGTTGCGATCAGGAACTATTAGACAAAAAGATTATCAGATAATGCAGAGAGGGTTATCCTCGGATGATGAAGCATCGGATGCTAACTCGGCAATCGCTTCTGATAATACGGTATCCAGTCCGGGACAATCCCGCGAAGTCTTCATGATCAACACCGAGCAAATCTCCAAAATTCTTGAGGATGCTCTAACTAAGAAAAAAGAGGCATTCAAGATTGAAATGGAAATGGCTATGCTACGAATGAAGGAAGAGCATGACCAATAAATTCGGGCTCTGTCCAATCAGTTCGGTGAATCCAGTCGTCACAACCGTACTGATCAAGTAGGTAGCGATTCAGACGTGGATGAATACATTAATGCCGATGAACCTCCTGTTGGCCAGAACGCTGGGAGTGGTCCCACTAAAAACAATGACGCTGGGGGTGGTCCCACCAATGATGACAACACCGAGGGTGGCCCCGTTATTCCTCTTAAGAATCGTCCAAGGCCCAATACGAGCGAGGATGAGAAAATAAAAATCTCGAGAGCAAAATCAAAGCTCTAATGTCTGCTCGAGAGGTAAAAAGGACTGGCATTCCATGTCCCTATCCAAGAGAGTGGGATTCAATAGCATACCCGGTGAAGTTCAACTTGATTAACTTCACGCTGTTTGACGAGAAGGGTTTTCCCACTCAACATCTGATCTACTTCAAGTCCCGCTTGGGTATGATCTCCGACAATGAAGCCTTGATGGTTCGGTCATTCGTTGGCACCCTTCGTGGGCCCGCC